GTATGCCTGAAAGATGCTCGGCCGCGTATTTCGGATATCCAGTCTCTTTCCCATGACGTGATAGTCTCTTTGTGAGACCATGTCTTCATGGTCGATCGGAGTGGGTATAGCTGCTGCGGTTCTGCTGCTTTTGGTCCCGTAAGGTCGCCTTCTCTCCAACCTGTTGCTTCCTTTGCCGCTCAATCCGCTTCTTCATTACCTTGGATCCCAATGTGCACTGGGACCCATCTAATCTCGGTGTTTAGACCTTGTAATTGGAGTTCGTCGATCTATTTTGCGATGCTTCTGAGCAGGTATGCCCCCGACTTACCCTTAGGCTTTGCGGTCGATCAGATAGCGGCCTGGTTATCGGTGTAAATCAAGACCTTGCTTCTACTGTTGCCTCTGGACCTGTCTTCCTGTGCGATCTGGAGGGCAAGACTGATGCCTTGGAGTTCACCAGCATAGACAGTGGAAGTCATATCGTCTCCCATGTAAGCACTCTTTGTTTCTTAGGTAGTGGTGCAGACTGCGGCAGCACCAATATAACCACCAATGCCGCTACCGTCTATGTAGATGTGTATGGCGTCCGGCTCGTCTTGTATGATCTGTTCGTGTTTGATTTGCGCCTCCTCTGTGTTTGTTTCGATGAACGTCTATGGCCCCTGCCACCATGGAGGTACAATATAAGGCACGATGCGCTCTTATCTCCGGATATCCGGCCCTTGGCGGTCTCTGATGGCTTATTCAATAGCTCGTCTCGGGCTTTTCTTCTTATTTCTTCTCGCCTCCTCTTCTATATATCGGCATTCAGCTGGGCCGACCCTTCCCAGAGTGTCGACGTTATGCTTGAAGATCTGCTGTTCGACTAGTAGAAGGTATGTTTCCACGTCAAGGGCAGGTATCAATGCTGCTTTGTACGCTCCACTAATCACCCTAGAAGCTCTGGCCTGTAGGCTTTGAAGCTTGCTCAATGTTCGCTCTGTATATAGCTTATCCCTGGTTCTCCAGTTTACATTCGACCAGGCAGAACAGGCATACATCATCTGCGGCACAGCCACTCCTTTATATATGTTTCTCATTTCTCTCATTATCACTCCCCAAGTCGAACCACCGAGGCTGCTGAGGGCGTTAACTATATTGGTGACCTTGCGTTGTATTTCATCTATGTGCTATTTCCAGGTGAGGGTGGAGTCCATGATAAGACCTAGGTATTTGCATGTTTTCTTTGGTTCAATCATGCCCCATCTTGTTTACAGAGGCTCCTCGACGTCTATTCTTGTTCTCGTCCGTGTAAAGTAAGTAAGCTGGAATTTGTCTAGCGCGAAGATAGACGCATAGGTGGCCGCCCACTGCTCTGCGATATGGAGTGCCTCTTGGAGCTTCTTGCATATCTCTTTCGTGGAGTTTGCCCAGGTAAGTATAGCCACGTCATCTATAAAGCCTGTTGTGGCCGTGTCGTCTAGCTCTCCGCACTTTTCGATTAGGTCTGCGTTGTAGAAGAGGTAGAGGATCAGTAACAGATTCGATCCTTATAGCTCTCCTATCTCTAATTTATAGGGTTCAGATGTAAAGCCATCAATTGATAGCGTTGTGAATCTTGGGCGCAGGAAGCTTCCGATCCACTTGACTGTTCTTTCATCTATCTTTCTCTTCCGCAGATTGTGTAGTAGGCGTGCATGTGAAATGTTATCAAACGCCCCTGATACATCCAGAAGCAGTAGACTTGCCACCTTGCCTTGCCCAGTGTTCCAGGCGTCATATATCTTGTCGATAATGAGGTGAAGGGCGTGTTCTGTTGATCTCAGCTTTCTTCCACCCATATGGGTATCAGGCAGCAGGTTATGAGTCTCGGCGAGATAACTCAGCCTCTTTGCTATGACCGCTTCCATGATCTTTCCTGTAGTGTTTAATAGAGCGATCGGCCTGTAGGCCTTTGGTACGGTATAATTGTCTTTCCCTGGCTTCCTGAGGACCACCGTTATCGATTGTCGAAAGTGTTCCGGATAGTAGCCAAGGGCAAGGGACTAATTGAAGATCTTGGTGAGATGGTGCTTGATCCAGGGAGAGGCGATTTGGAGTGCTTTATTGGTGATGCCGTCCGGTCCTGGAGCCTTGAGCGGGGCTGCCTCCTCAATGGCCTCCTCTATTTCCCTCGTTGTTATCGGTGGCATGGCTATGGGAGCAGGGTAGTTGGCATTCTCTATGTCTTCGATATCAGTGTCAGGTGGCACCGGAAAGAAGGTCTTTCTAAGAAGCTCTGCTTTTTCGCTAGGGGTTATTGCTTGCTGCTTTATAGCTGGGTCGACTAGCGCGGGTGTCACGTTCGGTGTTTGACTGTGTCTATTTCGGGCCCATTTTGCTAACCGCCAGAGGGTTGCCGGGGATTGGGCAGCTTCTTCTACCTTCTCCCGATGGTTCTGTCTAAGTGCTTTCTTAATAACTCTACCTTTGTCATTTCGCGCCGCACAGTATGCTTCCCATGTCTCTTCGGTACGATACAGGCTGTATCGCCGACGGAGTCGTTTTGATTCTGCCAAGGCTGCAGAGCATTCTTCGTTCCACCCTAGCTTCGATCTCGGTGACAGAGCCGTCTTCGGTACTGCTTCATCAACAGCTGCCGTTATGGCTGCCATTACTTCTTCCACATGTCTATCCAAAGCCGTCTTTGTTCTTGATCTTCGTTGCGGCAGAAGCTCCCGTTGCAGCACGCGAGTAAATGTCTTTTCGTCTAACGCTTTCCAATTTCGCCGGGGCTTAGCTATTATTTTAATAATATTTAGGTCTAATGAGGTGGTAATAGGTAGGTAGTCAGAGTCATAGTCCATGTCTGTTTCGATTTCGCACTGAATCAGTCTGTCCATAAGGCCAGCCGTCGTGAGGCAAAGGTCTATGGTCGTTCTTCCGTCACACTCTTTATATGTAATAGTGCCTGGAGCAAGGTTGCTCGTGAGACAGTAGTCTTCCATGATTGTGGTGAGCTCAGCGGCATCATGGTCTGCTCACTGGACCCGATCACCTCCCCATAGCTCGTGGTGGAGGTTAAAGTCGCCAACAATGATTTGTTCATGATGGGACGATCGTTCTATGGCCAGCTCCAGGAGTGGAAGCGTGCTTCCTCTCTCGGTTGCAGTTTTTGTTGGGTTATAGACGTTGTGTATCACAATCTGCTGCTCTTCTTCTGTTCCGAGTACTAGGTTCAGCGAGCAGAGATCTCTGCTTGCCTCTCTAAAGTGCCACCTGGAGTAATCAAGCCTCTTATTAATAAAAAAGCAGACCCTAGCTGGGAAGTTTCGATCCTTGTCTGGGTAGCATAGGTGAAACTGGTCTTTGGCTGGATGGTGAGTTGTCGTGTCAAATGGGTTCTTCCATGGCTCCTGGATGGCGAGGATGTCGTATCGCCCTATATCGGGATCTCGCAAGAGCGTGGCCATGACTGTGTCCTTTGATTTTCTAACGTTGTACTGTAGTATTGTAAGAGTGTTTCCTATTAACATTCTTGATCGTCAACCTCCATTTGCTAGCTGTGCTATGTGATCTGTCTGTTGGCATCCAGTGTTTCCAATACTCTCCTGGAAGGAGCTAATGTTCATCTAGGTCGCTGGCTCCCTATGTTCACGACGATCTCGTTTCTGGGATCATCAGGTGTTACCTGGTTGTTGCTGCAATTCGCTCTCTTCTGTTGCTTCTTCGTCGGCGATCTACTCCGGGACGAGTTGGCGTCCCGTGGCCGGCCTGGTTCCAAGGTGGGTCGTCCTGTCCTGGCGATCGGGTTTGATTCATTTTGCCGATCCCTTGTTCTAATTCCGGTCGTGGTGCTGGCGACAAAGCTTTCTAGTTCTAAGTAGTACCTGGGTCTCGATTTAAAGGCTGCCTTGGCCTTGTTCACCTCCTGTTTCCTGGTAGGGCATTGGTTGTTCCAGGCTTCGTAAGGGCCGTTGCAGGCCGCGCATTTTCGCGGGGCATTCCTGTCGCTCTTGGTTGGGCAATCCCGGGTGGCATGATCTTGCGCACAGTAGCCGCATGTTATTGTTGCTTTGCACTGGGTTCCTATGTGGCCGTATTTGTGACACTGGAAGCATTGTCTCACACGGCACTGTCTGTCATAGAGCTCGCATTGGAATACCTCGCCTTGCCAGATAAGGCCCTCATCGATGACTTTATTTGCATCTTCTGGTCTCGTGAACTTAACCACGACCGAAGATGCTGATTTGGTAGACGAAGATCTCATCAGCCAGCCTATGTACTTAATCTCTGCATTTGGTATAAAGGGCTTGTTATCCTGAAGTATCCTATCTCTAATGAGTTTAAAATTATCCATGTTCATCGAACTAGTGCATACGCCATGCACCAAGACACCGTACGTCGGAATGCGTACTGTGGCGCCGTTTCCGATCCTTTGTTCCTAGTCTTCTGCAAACTGTCTAAGCGCCACCATGTCCGCTGTAGTGGCCGTCTTGATGCTCAGGTCACCGCTCTTAAGCTGATTGGAGGATACTACCTTAATGTTCTCTATGTGTTCGTTGCTGCTTTGCTCGATTGCGAGGTCTATATGTGACTTCAGGCTGCGTGGGCTCATCATTCTGATGTTGGCTATAGTGACAGGGTCTCTGATGTTGATGATAATCTCACGCAGGGTCTGAACAGGTGACGCTTTCTGGTTCTGTGGGTTATGCATGCTTGCCGCTAGCCCTCCCCTCGCCAGCACGTTGGCGTAGGTAGGCATGGCGTTGGCTTGGTTCTGCTGGCTTACGAGCTTCATGTCTCTGATCATTTTCATCGTTGCTTTACCGATCTCTGTGGCTTCCTTTGCAGCCGCTTTTGCATCTGTCGTAATCTCCGAACTGCGCTGGACTTCTTCCATGGTTTGTTGAGCTTGGGTGTTTGTTTCATTGAGATCATTTTTGAGGCTGTTGATGTGTTGCGCTAAATTTTCTGCTGCGGTTTTTATTTCAGCTTGGCCGTTTTTCACGGCTTCGTAAACGTGACCAAGATCGGGTGTGCTCTGCATTTTGACGATGAGGGTGAGAGCTCCAATAAGTGCAACTTGAACTCCACGGGATGCGACAGGCAGACCATCTCCATTGTCGATGGCTGACAGTGCCTTTTGAAGATATTTGCTCAAATTTGTGGCGTGCTCTCGGTAATCAGTGGGCCAAATTTCGTCCTGGGGCCACGGGGTCGCCATGATGTTCTAAGTCGCACTGGGCAATGCGGCCGACACTGGGCTATCCAATTAACCTGTCGGAACGGTGTTGCGGCGCTGTAAATAGCTGTTGTTTTCAAAAATTTCGTTCTCGCTGGTGTTGATGTTTTTTTTTCAGTTGAATGATATCAGGTTTACTGTTTTCTACGCTCAGCTTCTTACATCAATCACGTGCATCCTCAAAACAACCAGTTTCATTGTCATCTATCCGCAATTTAAAAAGAATTGAGCAGTGCGCACTACAAATAGTTAGAGGGCCTGTCCGGCTGAAGCAATTACTCCCCTCCTCCCAGTAAAGCTTGCCCATCCAATGGAAACATGTCATCCGTGAGTTTCCTTAGGTTGGGCTGTCAGTGAATTCAGTTATATCCCCCAAAAAGCGGGGCAACAAAATAAAAATTTCCGAATACTACCATTGATTTGGCAAGCGGTTTGCGGCTCCTGTAAAGCTACTGAACTTACTTAATATAAACTGTAAAGGTTAGTATGGGCTCTCGTGTAAGAAAAGCGCCGGGTTTTGTCAACAACGAGAGTCATTCGCTGAACCATGGAGAGAAGAAAGAGTGGATAAAAGGGGAACGCGGCACATTTCACGGCTGGTCCATGACCTGTTTAACGACTTGGCTGTGACTCGGAACTTCTCCCCGAAACCCGGACCCACAGCTCCATTTGTCAGCACTTGAGCAAACCCATCTTCGGGCCTACTATCCCGATCTGTGGCTAGCTGTATGCGACTTCCTTCCGGATCTGCCAATGCTCCGTATCATATTGCCTCTCCCCACTCACCCCCAACACCATCATGCCAAGCCAACACTGAGTCGTCGGGCTTACGTAAGTTGCCAAGCCAAGAGCGTCGAGAGTGGGCGGAGAGCAATGATGGCATGGAAGAACTTTCACCCCGCTCTACAAGGCTCGAGATACCAACTGCTGAGGAAGGTGAATGAAACAATTCCAGTCTTTTGTACAAGTCGGTGAGTGCGCCATGGCCAAAGACCAGGCAAGAAGCAAGCACCAACGTGATAACAGCGAAGGGCACAATTTCCCTTCGTCCGACTCCACGATTACGTACGGCAATGTTGCCACTACTACGTTCTGTTGGTTCTCCCCCTGCTCATCTGTTGGTGAAGACATTGTTGGTGATTAGTGGGTCTCGTGTGATTTCTCGTAGGACAAGCAGCCAGTAGTAGCATTCTTTGTTGGTCGACTAAAGAGCGCGAAGTCAAATATCGCGCGCACTGAAACGCCGTCACCATGAAATTCTGAAAACTCTTAATCCAGTATTTTGGTTGAGTAGATAAGCAAAAAGCCCCAGCAGCCCAGGCTCAAAAACGCTTATTCCAAATTAAAATCTTTTCTGTTTGACTTTATCTCAGTCAGTTTTTCACGATGTGTTACTTCGACCGGGTTGTCTGGGCTTGCGGCAATTGGAGGTGGGACAAGTTTCGCCAACAATGCAACAAAGAATACCGCATCGGAGAGACTTGCGGATTGAAGCTTGTGTACGAGCGGCGAGATGAAGAAAGAAAATGTAAAATATGCGATCAAGTGACGAAGAAGGAAAACCGGATTAGAAGGACGACCGACAGGATGGCTCGGCTGCGTGAATGGGAATTTTTGGCCAGCCTTGAAAAATGTGAAGAAGAGGTGGATTCCTTGAAAAATGAAATTCTGAGACTGCGTCAGCAACACAGTACAAGCATGCCTGGAGGAGGCGTCTACCGCCTTCAGTCCTCAAACACATTCCAGCTCCATGCTAGCATTGATGGCCCATTCGCTCGCCCGTCGATTCCCGTCGGCCTTACTGAAAGGCAAGATGACCTATCATCAACGACGCTCCTCGGAATTCACGCAGCCAGGCGTCAGAAGCGACCTAAAGACAGCAGCAATCATCTATCACATCTCTCCATAACCTCGGCTGGAATCAAAAAGCATGGGAAGACTTTGGCTTAAACCTCCTTGTCAGTCACTGTTTGACCGGATGCAGCCGCTGGTACTGCTTACTTTCCCACGCTCATGGGTAGGAGGAGAGTAGGGAATTCTAACAGACCAAGAGGCAACGCTAAAGATACCGATACGATGTCTTATTAAGCGGATACAGTAGAGATTTATCTATCGAACAGTAGTTTTTTCATGCTTGGGTAGTGAAGCACTAAGATGCCGTTGGCGCTGGGAAACGATAAGAGGTTACAATCGCGATCTCCAGCACTTCGTGTTTTCAGTCTCAATAGATTTATCCATGAGAGCCTTGTTCAGAATTCACTGTATGTGACTCGTGGCAAGGATGAAATTATATTTAAATATTGCCAGTTTGAGAAGCGCTTTGCGGTCACTACCTATGCCCATGGCTATACTCTATCATCGGACGAGATCAGCCTACGGTTTTGTGGAGTTTCGATGACATCCAGTCATCGACCTCACCTATGTTGGTAATCATCTCCCACACAGTTTAGACTGCTTAGTTATGGAAATGAGTAACAGAAAAGTGAAAAGAAAAGTAAAAAGAAAAGTCTGGAGAGTGACCACTCGTGCGATCATAACGCTGATAACTTGAAAATATATGCAGCCCGAAATTACCACTAAATTCTGAGACGCCTCTTTAAGCATGATTCCAAATACGAAACCCTTTCAAGGCTGTATTAATGCAAAGAGATCGCTGTAGAAGGCTTTGACGGGCCTTGGAGCCCTAGTCTTCCATACGGACCAATGCCACTGACGACTGTTGCTTGTGATGATTTCAACAAAATCAGGGCCAAAAGTCTCGACATACGCATCCCCATCTCATCTCCCAAGCTATCCTTTTGAATTCAGATGATGTCTACGATCATCTTTGCCTTCTGCACACCTTCAATCCAAAGTTCAACAACCCCGCTCAACTTCAAATGTTCTTGAAGGCCTGCCTAAATCCATATCAATTCAATCTCCAAGTTTCCAGTACCGTCTTCCGCATGAAATCTTCAGGTATACTGGAAGAAGTTGTCATAGCAAAACTGAACGACTATCCCCTGATACAGTTGAAACTTTTCTCGTTGACTTGAGGGTGCAGCCGAATTTTGAAGATATGCCCTCTGTAGTTTAAATCCAATTCATTCAAACTATTTAAGGGAAGGGACGCCGCATATGCCAATTCTTCGATGTCAATCACCGGAACTTCTGCATTCTGTGGGGCTGGTCGGTCGTGGGTCTCAGTGATCCACTCAATATCAAGTTTTAGATCCTTGTGGAGATCTTGACTCCCAGTATGAGAAGCCGAGTATTCGATGTAAAGTTTCAATGGACCAATAAGGATACACGACACATCATCTGAAGGGATGCAACCGGAGATTGTGTTACCGCATTGAACCCCTTGTTTATTATGAGTATCGCTTTCTTCACTGGAAGACGATAATGCTTGACTCTGATCCCCAGTTGTGGTTGGCGTTTTGATTTCCGTGATCCCGGTTTTAACACCACCAGAGGCAGAACATTCTGGAAAGTTTTCGTCATCCTGCGAGTATGCATTCGGGAGAGTGGCTGTACTTTTCTTTACATTCTCATCGACCATTCTTTCACGAGGTATGGTTGTAGTGCCATTGACCACATCCACAATGTTGGGGCTGGTCAAAGACGGAACCAGCGTTGAAACCGACCGGCTCATTGTCAAAATTGTACTTTCTCGAGGATCTGGTAGTTTGAACTTTATCTTTTTTCTCAACAAGTCCCTGATGCTGTTTCTGACCTGTTCCTCTAAGGCATGATTGAAATTCCTTAGTGTTTGGTCCTGCTCAGATACTGTTGGTAAACGCCAGCCAGGGTATAGTCTTCCATGGCATTTTGGGCTGTGAAATTTCGTGATGGCGGTGATGAAAAGGTCGCAAAGATAGCAAGCATCCTTACTTGAACAAACGACGCGAGGCGGCCGGGTTAGGCAGAGTCCTTCGATGTGATAGAATAATTGGATTTCCGAGTGGATTTTCGCTCCTTGGAGAGCTCGCCGGACATGCTCGGAGAACATGCATTCAGCCTTGTCCTTGCCGAGCCTCAGCAAGGTGTAAATCTTGTCAGGATTGACAGAAAGGCTGTGTTTACTAACAATCCGATGTAAAGTAGCGGATAAAGAGGGCGAGTATTGGTCGACTTTTACTTGAGAATACATTTGCGGCTCAAGGGTGACAGGAACAACTTCTACTCTTCGGAGGACCGGAAAACGTTTGGCCATGCGGTAGAGACGTCTAGCAGCCTCCTTGTATCTGGCCACTTTGCAGATGATGTTATACAGACTTGTTCTCAAGTCAGGGTCCATGAGATTATTTGGTATGCAATTCAGAAGGTCGCTGAGCCAGCTAACCCTCCATAGCTTATGGATCCCTTCCACAAGTTCTCGTAGCCGAACGAGAGTTTGGTGCTTGGTCCAGGCCACGATGAGCTTAATAGCTTCATTCGCTCTAATTTCGAATGACGCTACCGAGTCCACCAACTCGCTTCGGCTCGATATTTTTCCGCGTATGTTTCTTAAAGAAACCACAGCCAGCTTCAAGGTTTCAACAATTGGTTTTTTTATCTTTTGTTTGTGGTTCGAACGAAGATTTAGCCGACAAAGGATGCGTTCTGCACACACAGTTATGATCGTATCAAAGACATTCTCAACCGTGCCACCGTTGCCATCTGCTATCAAGCTGTTAGCATATGATAGTTTCCATAGTAACGTGGCGAAAAAAGGGCAATTGATTCACGTTATGGGTGGTCCATTGTACATACTATCTACGAGTCGCGAAAGTGACGCAAGTATCTTGTTCAACGCGTGGGTCATTTCCATGAGATGGACGTTACTGTCGTTGTAACTGCTCTTATTCACTGCTATATGCACTTTCAGAGCTTGATTATCAGGAGTACTCTCAATGCATAAAGCAGGAATTCGATTCGGATCATCCTGAATGCTAGAAAGGAAAGCTAGGGTACTCGCAAGCCCCCGCTCCTTGTCAAACGGCAAGTTATAGCCAGTTTCACGTATCTGATCGCTGTAAATTGATGTAGTCTTTGGCGCGCTTGGAACGCTGTGTAAGAGGAAAAGAAGACTGATATTCTCGGTGCATATAATATGAGGATCTAAATCGTTGGTCATATTATCTGGTAAGACCTGGTGAGATGGTTTTGGAACTATCAAAGAAACTCTTATCTGAGGGAAAACCAAAAGTGGGGTAGCCGGTCGGTTGAATGCAGGATGACCATGCCAGCCGCCCATCGTCTGATTCGTCGAACTGCATCAAATAGCGTGATAGCAGTGACCTTGCAGGCACGCATCGCATTGTGGTGTACTCAAGCATGTAGACTTGAAATGCGCCGTATTTCAACTTCTGCCCAATCGAAATCTCCCTATTCTTCCCTGTGCTTCTCCACTTACCCCTTCATATGGAAGTCCCTTTGCTTCGCCATGGTAAAGACGCAGCAACAGCGGGCCGTAACCTATGAAAGTGCAAGTTTTGGCGGCAGTCTTTTTAATAAGCCTCTACCCTGAGCCTGACCAGCCCTACGTTTAAGTGTGAGAACCAAATTGACGTGGGGACTAGCCCAGGTTAGGCTCATTTTGTATTCTAAAAATTCAAAATCGATGGGAAAGCAGGGGGAATCTTTTGGATTTGAATTGCGGATTACGCAGTAGGATTTTGAAGTAAAAGAGAAAAGAGGTAACCTATCGCGGCAGGTAGTCACCCAGTTGATGATGGGCCTGAGCTCCTATTTGGGCATCAATGCTTCGGACTTGTATGCAAGTCTGATTGGGTGGCTGGTTGTGAGACTATTGATGCAGGAGGCCGACCAAGCGGGATAGGTCGTCTGCTGTCCTTGGAATGAGGTCTGTACGTGTTGATTCGAATAACATTGGGTAACAAGGAGCCAGCAAACCAGGCAGATCAATCACACAATTATAGGCGATAGCTAATCCATAGAGTAACTGGCTCAACTAATGGAATTAATTATCTGTAAGGCTAAGTATTCCCACTTATATCCTTGATATTTACGGTTCGTTGTGTAATGAGGATTATGTGGTTACAGCCAATGAGAGAATGTGGAAAATCGTGAACGATCACGAATGGAACCCCCTTGAGACTGTAAACCTAGATCACTGGATGAACCCGTTGAGTGGAGACTCATGTGTTCCTCGACATTAGCATCCAATCAGTTATGCCAATTGTGGTACTAGGGTAAAGGAAACCGTTAAAGAGTTACTTCTCGAACGTATAGGCATTTATAAGTTATCTCTGGCAAAGTATGAGCCGTCTACGAGGTCCTTATTCGCCGCAGCCAATACAATAGGGGTGTTCAAAGGTACAGATATGGACTGCTTCCAATATGTTCGGGAGAAGGAAAGATAGTCTTTACAAAGTCACGTGCCGGCTACATATCGCATTCTCGGTCTTATGCGAAAGTCCGGAGCCCCTTGCGATCATATACGGACCTGGAGACTCAGGAGGCTTATGTGGTCTATCGATGCGAGGGGCGGCACGCATACTGCCTCGTATTCCAGAGGGGGAACACCGTCAATACTCTTTCAGTAACGAAGAGATAGGGAAAAAGAAAAAAGGAAAAAACAAGAAAGTTGGCGCGCAGGCAAAGTCAGTTCATGGCCAAAAATCCTGTCTTATGAACTAATTATTGTAATATTCAAATTAACCGATGAAGGGGACCATAAACGGTGCATCAATCTAAGTTGTAAGGCTCTCACTATACTCTGAGTACAACCCTTCTTCCCACATCGTAAGTTTGAGTGATTCATTCGAACTAGCAACTACGTGGAAGTTGCGAAACCCGGGAGACCGACATAGATTTTGCCTTTACTGAACTTATTTCACTCTTCTTCTTAATACATAACCTTCTCGCGCCAGTCAGGAGGCCTTGGACTATCGGTTTCCCACTGTATACCGTTCCTCCTGTTGAGATGACACCCCTTGTTCGAAATAGGGGCAATCTTCCCGGTGTCAACCACCTCGTTGTTTGAGATGCCTGCATAGTCCCCAGGAATCCACAGGGAAGGGGTCTGACTTGTGACGGAGGGCGGATAATAACCCTGCGCCTCAGCGTCCTCAGAGTACTCTGGTACTATGAGGTCCTCGTGATGCACAAACCGCTTCACGGCCGCGTAATCGACGAAGATCCGGGACTTGAGCCACTCAGAGACGAAGTTAGCCTTATTGCGGTCCCGGCCAGTAGCGGTAGGCACGAGTTTGCGGGCCGTTTTCCTCTTGCTCGCACCTCTGGACATGGCCCTGGCGCCATTCTGTACTTGTCCATCATCTGGCTTTCTCTGCTGGCTTCGGTCAATTCGATCTTTTTCGAATTGACGAGAAAGAGGAAGATTGTAAAGGAGAGGGTCGAGAGCCTTGACGAGGGAGACGTGGCAAAGGATGGTAAGAGAAAGAAAGATAATCATCAGAAAAGCAGGTCCCGCGGCTTTGGAAACGATGAACATTCCAACGAGGCACATCTCGGCTACGTAAACACCAAATAAAAGCTGTTTCAGAGCCTGAGGATAGATCAAACCATCGGTGTCGACATCGGTGTCTGCAACATACAGTAAATTGTAACGGTAAGCGAGATAGAACAAACCCATGCTGATAGTCGACCAGAATAGAAGAAAGGGGGCAATAACAGAGTAAACAATACCTGGAGGAAAGTTAGCTGAGGTAAACCGTAATACCTACTTAGTTTCTCACTAATGACAGCCATGTTGGTGTAAATAGGCATGAGGCTCCCCAAAGAAATAGTACTGAGTGTCGTCCACTTGTCGTACATAATTCGTGGAGTCCTGTTGGTGAATCTAGACGAGAGGGTGAACGTGACGAATCCGAAAACCTGTGTCAATACGCTGGTGGCGACGGTGAGACCTTGAACAATGAAAAACGAAATGTAAAAGTTGGAAGCGGTAGGGATTGAAGATGAAAGCATGCCAAAGACGTTGTTGGGATTCCGAAGGATTGTCACAAGAGATGAAATGAAACTGTTAGAAAGCGTCTGGACCAGGAATACTTGGAGGACTTGAAAAATGAAGTACGCCTTCTGGGTGAAGAGCTCAGCTTGTGATGTTGAAACGCAGCCAGACCACCTGGCACAGGTACGTATGAACACTGGCACTGACGACATCAGAATAGATAGCGCGATGGAAGGTAACAAGCCAGAAACAGCGCCAAGTATAACCTAAACGGTCGGATCAACACAACGATAGAAAGAAAGACGCCTGCCAAATTTACCTGTGGAATATTCTGTATCCAGGTTAGGCCTGGCAGCGACTTGATGGTATTTACTTGCGCAATGATACCAACAATAGTCACAGGAAGAGCCCAAAATACAACAAGACCAGCAATGGCAGTGTAGATGACATATCGACGTATTGCAACCTGCCACCATGAATAGTTAAGGCTCTTCCAGATAACTTCGTTTGGCTTTATGCCGATGAATCGAGGAGACGTTTGAAGGGCGCGGTGGTGTGTGGCGGCTTGAAAAGCAACCTGCGCATCGTATTGAGTAGAGAATTCGACGAAAAACGCAGTGTGTTTCTCATAATCACCAGTGAGCCAGTTATTCTGAGCGTTCTGGGCTTCGGGGATGAGGCCCTTGAGCTTGTCTCGGCACCATTGGATGGTGTCGACTTTCTCGCCGATAAGCCCTAAAGGGCCTTTGCGGTGGGTAGGTCGCTTGTCCTCGCGACTACGGCCGGTAACGAGGCTCCCAGATTCAGGATCGGATGTGCTGGTGGTTGCCCTTTCGGCCTCATTGCCTGTCTTTGTTTCATACTTGATGCGCTCCTTGTTACATAGTCTGATCCACTCGATTTCTGCTTTCTCAAGCTTCATAACCACGTTGTCACGCTCTTGGATAGTCCTATCTAGCTGCTTAGTGTCGCCAGCGATCCAAATCTTCTTGGCCGAGCCGTTGAAGAGGCTACGGATGCGGTCCTCATCGAGACACTCCTTGGGCACTGAAGTAAACAAGACAGTGCGGGACGAGATACGCTTAGCATACTGTGGGGTCAGCAGAAAGGCTTGCCGCAGGTTTATGTAGAAAAAGAATTCGCGAATAATGGCGTACATCACGAAGGCATACACGACCCCGGCCACAAAGCAATGTGCGTACAATCTGTTCCTCTTGGCTGAGTCTTCAATATTAATATTGCTGTAGGAAAGGATCTCAAGTTGCTTCTTCCCATTGCCGCCTGTGGCATTGAGTGGAAGGAGAACTGGCCATGTAACGCAGAGAGTAACAAAGCAGATGGCGCAACAAACACGAAGGAATCTGATAAAAAGGTATGAATCAAGACTTTGACGCCGAAGGGCATAGGCATCCGGTACTTTCCAAAAAGCCCCTATCCAACAGAAGAATCCATTGGGCAGCACGGGACTGCGTTCGCTGGGAGATGGTCAGGATTAATGTTCAAGATTCTAATGCCGTCCTGCAACCTACTACTCCCGCAAAGTGCCTGTGCATGTTCGAGGCGCGTAGAAACGCCGATTCGAAGTACGGAGGACGAGGAATATAATGATATAGATTATCGAAGTGGCAAGAACCGGTACCAGAGTGGAAACCATACCTAACTTATTCTCAGTCGTGCTTTACATAATAATCGTAGACCAGATTGCGGAATATCAGCCGCCAACTGGCCTCATTGATTCATCTTGTAACATACCCAATAAGGACATAGGCTCCGCATTACTTGCTACACCCTGGTTCGGTTGAGACAAGCTGTTCTCTAAGAATTTGATGAGATTTTCCATCCCAATGCTATCCGTGGACATTTGTTTCCATGTGGAAAGTTTACAAACATCCAGAAAGCAAAGATCCAGGTACTTATCACTGATACTGCGGTACTTTGTTTCAAGGGTATTAAGCTAGAATCGTCTACTCTATTTTAGAAATAAAAATGCGGAGAAAGGTATATATAGAACTTTCTGCTACAGGGCTTCATGGCTTCATGGCTCTACACAGCATTGGGACGACTAAGAATAGCATTGAAATTGTCCCGTATCTTCTAGTTCTTTTCCTGTTCAGATTTAATCAGGCCTATCAATCCTTGCTCTACAAACCAACCACTCGTCCACTTGTCGAGGAGTCGACTAGTGATCTTCTACTCATTATCTCCTCCGTTTCCTTAAAGGCCTGAATCGTTACCCAAATTCAATTTGCCATTAATAATATCAACTCTAAAAAAAGATGCGCTCCTCAGGCTATATCGCTTCTCTGGTTGCCGCCGGCGCCATGGCCGTTCCCCACAACGGCAACTTGCAGAATGAGAACAAGCATTATGAGATAGTTACAAAGTTCGAGTACATCACCCACTACGTTTTCGGTGGTGGAAGCGATGCTCCCCAGACTACCTGCGTTTCTCAGCCTCAGAAGTCCAACTTTGAGAAGCAGCCTGACGTTTCTGGGCAATACATTACCACTGCCATCTACGCCCGGCCTACAAACGTCCAGCCCGCCAAGAGACCGAAGCAAGCCCCCAACCAGGATTCTGTTTCCGGCTTTGGTCCCAGCTACGGTCTCTCTACTGATCAGCAAGAGGCCGTTAACCTCCACAACGAGGCCCGTAAAGCCGTGGGCAACGGCCCTCTTTCTTGGGATGACTCACTCGCCGTGGGTGCCCAGCAGTGGGCCGATCGCCTCGCTTCCATAGGCTTTCTCCAGCATTCTAAAGGTGACCACGGTGAGAACCTCTACATGGGTACTACTGATAGTCCTTACTCTGTTTCCGTCAAGGCCTTCCTCGCCGAGAACAGCCAATACAACGGTGAGGCCATCTCGGGCTCAAACTACCTGAACTTTGGTCATTACACCCAGTGCGTCTGGAGGGACACTACCAAAATCGGCATGGCTGTCTCCAAGGACAGCAGCGGCGTCTCCTGGGTCGTCGCCCGCTATCAGAAGCCGGGTAACATGAAAGTCTCTCAGAAACTAATCTTTATACTGCATTCGCTAATATTCATACAGTATAGGCGAAAAGCCTTACTAAGGTGTCAGCACCGGTATAGCAGGATGCTTCAATTCAAACACAGACTATGACTGAATTCAGGCCCAGGAATTGATGGTTATACTTCGCTGCCGTTAGCACTGAAATGTAGCGTCAACTCCATCTCGATCGCCTCCAATTATTGCTGCAAATTCATTGATGAAATTCGAAAAACTGTTGCGACTTGTCGTGAGACCCGAGATGGAGCCATACGTGGCGATCAGGCTTCAGAGCGTCCATGCTTCGTGAAAATACAGGTAATCTGTGGGTCAGTGGGGTATTACAAAAGCTTGAGAGTTAAAAAAACGTGAACACACGAAGGCGGTGGGCCAGAGTGAAACTAAACAGTTCGAAGGCTTAACGTAAAGAAAATAAGACTAGTCATAGAGAGTCTTAAATTGTGTGTCGTGGCACATCATCTGCGTGAAACGGACGAGATCCTCCATTGATGGCGTGAGGAGAAAGAAATCTGTTCAAAAAAAACAGATTAAAAACCATCTCAGAGGAAGCCTAATACACAATAGACGAGATGGACCTAGTTTTCCAGCTACTGGCTGAACCGTCAAGAGAACGTGGTTGAGGCTGGTCGGGGCAAAGAAGAGTATGCAGAAACTCTGTAGGTAATGGAAGAATCTATTTTAGATACTGCATGTTGATACAAACTTCGACAAGTATATTTGGCTTAAGTACACGATTACCAAACGGCAGTGCCGAGGGAGGGCAGGAAAGAGTCCATTTCACGCTTAGGGGTGAGTCACTGCCAGGAGCAGCAGCGGGGAATAGCAGCCAATACCGGGCTTAGAAATTATTCACATACTCCTCCTGCGTTGGCTTATTCTCGCAGTGAAGTTTGAAAGCCGTTCTATTAGGGGCTCCTGATAACAAATTGAATGCATTAGCATATATAGAGTGTGTAGGTCACTGGTTTACTATGTACAGTCCAAAAACAAAATACCTATTAAGCCTTTCTTTATCAAATTCGAGTCTGCGGCGGTATGAAACAATATTGAAGACTCATTAATATCATCATACTGATCCAATATAATACAGATTGATCGGAGAGAGATTCATTTGTAAAACACCCTACCTTTCTTTCTTCCCCTACAGTAAAAGAAGTAGCTTATTCTAGAGTTGGGAAATCCTGCAAGACCAATGGATAGTCGCCTCTTGGGTAGCTATACCGGCCTTGCGCCATACAAGTGTCTCGTTCTTATGGGTTACCGTAAGGTACGGAAGAGCTTTAATGTATCACACCGCATCGGTAGGCGTGAATACTTCTTCGACGATTGAGACTCTCAGAAAGGCTACCAGAGTTGTAATAATATATCTCTTAATAAGTTTTCTGACTGCTATTTTGTTCTTCTTCCGCGTTTTAATTACCAATATAATAGATTTATCACTTGGGCGCTGTACGGCGATTCTCTTCAACGCGACTGAGGCTTTGACAGCAATACAGACCCTTCTCTCATCAGGGGAGGTTGCTTGATCGACATCTCGTTGTTCGGAATCATCAGGCTTCTAGGTAGTTACCTCTTCTGGATGACAGTCTGGACAGATCACCGGTGAGCCAAGCTCGTTTCAACCTCATACTCCTCCCTTACCTTAGTACATTGGCACTGTCAGTGCTCAATATATTAGACGGTGTCATCAGCTTGTATTGATTACTTTGCAACAGATATAAATACGATATTGTTTGAAGAGTGGTCAAGAAGGATGATGAAAGAATAATGGATTCGACTGGTGATGATGATTGATGACGAAAGCACCATATGTCTTGAACTGTAGTCAATCGAATATACTGGGCCGAACCACATACGAAAAAAAACAAGTCCTCGCTTCTTACATCCTGATGCCCTACGGAATTAGCTTCACAATAAGTTTTATGATGTTTTGGCAGAAATTGCTTCATTGAAATAACTTTTCATCCACCGCTCTGCTTCTCTTCATGGAAGTGGTCACGTGCGGCGAGGTCTGTGTGCATTGAGTAGAGACGGTGGTGCGGGGTAATAATATACGCGTCATGGCCAGAAACTGTTCTGCGCTGCCCGCGGCGATAATACCCTCCATGTTAACTTGAACGACCGGGAGTTCTTGAGCTGTGCTGCCAGCTGCATATGCAAGTTGGTACATGCGTCAGCTCAACATCTGTTTTAGATTGCAGAAGATTTCGTGGCAACCGTCTGCATCATCAGAATGCCGATCGATCTCTTTAGCGTGGCCGGCGAGATCCGCAACAAGGTTTATGAGGAACTTCTATCAGCCTCCGAACGTATCATTATTGAATCAGGGCTGCGGCCGCCGCGCCTCTATATGGTTACCGCATCACGCCTATATTCTGCGATTCTTCTTGTGAATAAAAGAGCAAACCGGGAAGCAAGCCCATTACTTTATTCGAGAAATCAATTTGAGTTCGGTATATATTGGCCAGGAACCAAGGAAGGGCATGAAACAAAGCGTATGATCTTCGCCTCGTTTATTAGCCAAATTGGACTCCAGAACGCAAGCTTTCTCCGTCACCTCTGCATTCCCTTCTCGGCTTCCGGCAATCATTACTCTCCAGGCATAGTGCTTGAAGAAAACAGCATGTCCACTCTGAAACTCATCCAGGATAAATGCACCGGGATCACCACTCTCAACGCGGTGTTCGAGACCATAACCGCCGAGATCCTAACAGTTGTATATACGTCCTTCAGTTCTATGCCAACGTTGAAAAACGTGAACATCATCACGTATGATGGGCTGCTCAGCGACGAATTGATAGAGAAGATATGCAACTGGGGTTGGACAGCCGAGATTGTACAATTGGATGAGGAAGATGATGACTATGACTATGAGAGCGATGATGATGAAGGATATTACTGGAGTGGATACGATTCCTATTCTTTGTATGACTCCGACTGAAATATCCCGCAAACAGTCTCAATAAGCAACCTTATCTATGAGTACTTCTTATGAAAATAGTGTCACAGGCTATGCCGGCTGACCAGGTGCTGATTGTAAACTAACCTGCCCAAAAATGCTGAGGCCGGTAACTTAAAGTAATGATTCGACAAATCTCCGGCCAGCATCTAGTCATTGAAACAGCCGAGGACATTTACAAACTTACGGTTTGCAAACACGTTCCTACTGCCATTCAAGCACTTATCAACGTTTACAGGGCCCTATGCAAGTTTGTAAGATCTCACGTTTCTAGCATTCCCGATAAATCTGAAAATAACTGGTCATTCGGATCCTACAGATCCTAATAACTGTGATCGGCAGTGCATAAAAAGAGTCTTAGTTGGCCACTGTAGTACAGAATTTGAAGAAATATGTAAAGAATAATGGTTAGAACTACTCACAGACCGGTCAAGTTTATATTTCTTCCTTAAGAGGCCTTCTCGCTACTCTGTTCTCTATATGTTTGCGAGCTACTCTCACCACTCCTCCAATGCTCTTGATATTTTCGTACTTTCCTATTAGCTTGAAACCCCCCCATTTCACGACCTTATGGTCATATCTTTCAAACCGCCATTTTAGGTATGCCGTGAAACGGATGTACACATCGGTGGCTTTCCCTTTGCAGGACCCAACTCTGGTCCGGACGTTATCGAGCGGCTTTTGCTTGGCCCTCTTGCGCCTCTGGTCACTCTTCGCGTTCTAAAGCATTTGTCAGTCCGCACACTGTTGGTCTGTTTACGGTGGACAACCTACTGTTTTAGAGTGAACCATGACCTCGTATCGTATTAAGCAATGCTTCTGTTATATCGGCAAGGAATACTGGATTTGCGGTTAATAAATGTTGTCCTGCTTGAGAATTTCTTAAGTTGTGATTTGACGAGGCCTGGCAAACTTAGGCTGCCTGGAGGTGGAGCTGATTCTTGATGCCTAATGCCTAAGGCATCATCACATTACAAACACACATTCCACTCATAATACAGGCTGCGGTGATTACAAGTTATTTTAGGTCGGTGTTGTACAAAGCTCAGATCCTCTAATATCAGAGGTTTTGGCAGCATAAAAGGTGGAAAATAAATGAATCCCGGAATTTTAAGTTGTAGAGCATCTCATCAAATGCTTGATTCGTCGATTAGAAGCCTGTTTTAGCAGCCCAAAGCATCCAGCATCAAGATGCCGTAGCAGATGAGATGCAATGCCTACGGGCAAAGGAACACAACCGCACAGAGGAGGGACTTTGACCGCTGTCATAAGTTTTCAAGAACGACTCTCGATACTCCTACTTTAGTTTTGTTTAACTCATCCGCTGCATTTGATCGCGACGCAGGCGTTGGCAACTGGCCAGATTTTCCCCGTGCGGAGCAATGCCATGGCTTCCGGACAAAGACAATAACATCCAAATTGATGAGATCAATGAAGACTTGAAGGAACAGTATTGTGATCGCCAATATGATTGTTATGCTCCCAGCGGGCCTCCCCCGCAGTTTTAATTTACACAGAAATCGTACCCTCGCTGAAAGTATGGATGCTCTTGTGTAATGCCAAGGGAATTCTGAGAAAAACCGATATCCCTCAGCCGTTCAACCGTCACTTCAATAACACCTTCAAAACCAGATCATTGCCACAAGTATTGCATGGTGTCGCGGATTGGGAATCCTAGGTTGCTCTGTGCGTTTCTCGATGGGGTACAGATGCTAGATGGTGATTGGTCCAAAACAGGAAAGGCAGCATGACCTCCATGCTTGAGTACAGTATGGTACGACATTGGCGAAGTGGGGCGTCACGGATGAACATTCGGCCGTGAGAGCTTGGCAGGAATAGAACCTGAACCTGATTCTTCTGAGGACCATCCTCCCTTTGAACCACGAAATCCGGTCAATCGTTGCTTTAAACGCCAGGGATACTTCAACAACACTGTGGCCTCATATCCCCTTCTCCAGAATTTACCTCATCTTAGCGGCCCATCCACCCCGACACCTGATGAGCTGCTAAGAGGTCCAAAGGGCCCCCTCTCAGCCACCGACGGCCTCTCCCGGCTCCGCCAGTCGAGTGCTGAGTGAAAGTTCAACAACAGAGATCACTGGCGGGGAAACCGAGAACGAAACGGATGCGGTAGATTTGAGGGCCAAAAATGACGTTGGATAAGAAGACGACGATGAGGGAGAACATGCCCAATGGAGATGAAGCAAATGGTTCAATGGATAATGCAATGAGAAATGCGGCAAAGCAGCGAACAGAGATCCCTTCAGAAATGCCACAAATGAAAGGTACCCGGGAAGAAGAGGACAACGAGAACAATGAGATAACGGCAAAGCTGTTCGGTACACCACCAAGCTCACCGAGGCGCTTCTTCACACCCTCTGGATCTTACGCACGACAAAAACTCGCTGAGCATCGAAGTCGTCGCGCAGAAGCCCGGAGAGAAATAGTAAAGAAGGATCGCAAGCGTGTGGAGGCAGGCATGATAGAGCAAGCAATAGCTGAGAGCCTCAAGACCACCACTATAACTCAAGCCTGCACAACCGTACAAAACACGGATCAGCCAAAGCCACTTTCATCACTAAAAGACCCTCTACCGCATGATGAGAAAGATAACTCCTCATCATCTTTCCCTCAGGAGGTCGCCAGTCCTGCTGGATCGGAGGATTCAGATGAAGGCGCCTGGTTAGACGAGCTGCCCCATGAGGAGCTGATTAACGATTGTATGACCTCTGTCATCTAGAAAGGCTTCCCGTGGAGCGACTCTCATGGTGGGACGGCACCGAGTGAATGGATCATGCGATGTTCTTTGAGTGGGATGGTTTGCAAATACATATTCAAGGACATAGCCGTGGAGCATCTTTTAGGTAAATATCTATGAGGAATTGAGTAGCTGTCGCGATCATTCGAGGTCACTCATCTAAGCAAGAATGGCCCTGGGTCTATCTTCTCGGAGATTGTTGACGGCGTTGCAGCCTTGATATTTGCAAATACCAATATGGCTGAGAGTAGGACCTGATTCTCTACTACGCAGCAGAGATTTTCTCTAGACCTCAAAAAAATTGATTCCAAAAAGGAGCAGAAGAAGAAAGAGAAATACCAGTTCTCGGCGATATTTTCTCATCTAAACTATTGTGAATTGGCAACACCAACGTAATTGGAACTGGTAGTACAGTTGGTGTTAGGACAAAACTCAAGACGGCCGATTGGATGCTGATCAGCGAAATTTGATATCTTCATTCTAACCGATAATCTCCGTTCGTTTCACACGTATTCCTTATGACCCGTGAGAAAGTTCACAAGCTGTTTCTGAAATAGATATCGATCTCTGGCTTTCTTCAATGTGAAGTGGAGAGACAGCAGGCTCAATCACAACGGCAGTTAAACGCGACACTTCCAATCAAGGCGAGATTTCTTTCTTAATTCTGTTCAGCCTCCGGAATATCATTTCGGGGTGAGTCTGAAAACACTAGATTCTCTCAAATATGCTTCCGTTTATGTTTGTCCAGAGATATTTTTCATTGTTTTATCAGGACAATCTGGCCGCGAGTCAACCCTCTCTACATTCAAGGTGAACACCATAGGGTTACGATGCCGGATCCAGATCATGGTAATCAGAAACCGATTTGGTCAGCCAATGGAATACTGTGTTTAGGTAGTCATCCTGATTTGGCTACGACTCCTCGCTTAAAACTATTACTCCGAGACCAGATTTTCCCTTCATGAAGCTGTAATTACGACAATTCTGTTACAAGCAACTACCCAGCTTTCCTCATCAGGCAATCCTATTTCCAGGGTAAGTGCTTTCAGCTATTACGTATACTAACTGGTTCCCTTATCTGTCTGGATTGCTTACGATGCATGTTACCAGCATTGGAATTTAAAAAAAAAGAACCGCTTCTAAAATCGGATGTTGCTATTCACTAGCCACCTGAAATACACTTCTACAAATAGCTATAATATCTGACAGGAGACTATCCCGTAACATGATATAAAATGATTCAATATTCGTTGCAAAACATGACAGTACAGCACACACGATGGAATTGTTTGTGCTCATCGAACTTGGATACCACTGGTTAAACGATGCTCTTCAGGATTATATCGCCTCTGCGTATGAATGTACTTTTGTAAAGCATACAGACGAACTGCCTACGGAAGAACATTTGCTTCTCATCTTTTCTCATATGCAGCCAGAGAAGCCTATGGTCATACCGACTAATTCAAAAGCTCTATTTAGCATGTATCCATTAACAGATGCTTTAACCCGTAAAGACTGTTTGTCAATGGTAGTCGAGTACTGGTCTGCTAAGAGACCTGGAAGCGTACTATCAGGCTGCATGCCTGCGACGGTTTCCTTTGAGATCGATTACGCTGAATACCTAGACGAAGCTCTCGCAGAGTCAGACTCTTATGACCTTTGCACGTCATTATCCCACAACACTGGACTTATGCCGAAAGATCGGCAGTGGTGGATCTTGAAACCTGCAATGACCGCACGCGGCGACGGCATTAGACTCTTCAGCGATGAGAACCAACTAAGAGAGAGCTTTGAATCAGTTGAGGACGATGACGACGAAATCTCAGAAGATGGAAAGGCTAGGTTTTCTAACCACGCACTGGCAAGCGGAGCAGTACCCTCATCCTGTCTGCGAAATTTCATCGCACAGCGGTATATAAGTAATGTTCCCCGATTGGACAACAGGAAGTTTCATATACGAGCTTACGTTCTTGCCGTTGGTCGATTGCAACTCTACGTTTACCAAGAACTGCTGGTCATATCAGCATCAGAGCCTTATCGCCCTCCCTGGGAATCTATGAGCAGAGGATCAGCACTTACCAATACACATTTACAGGGCACTGTTTGCTCAGAATCAGCGAGACGAGATTTCTGGACATTACCTGATGATCTCTTCGGACAGGACGGGTCATGGAAAGACCGAGCCTACTTCCGTATCCAACAAATTGCTGGAGAATGTTTCTTAGCAGCAGCGACTATGAATACTAATATCGCTCTCCATCCTGACTGCTTCGAGATCTTCGCTTTGGACTTTCTGATAGATCAAGACGAGCATGTATGGTTGATGGAAGTTAACTCGGGGCCAGGACTATCAGCTAAAGGGACTGGTTCCCGAATTGCGAAGGGTTTCTTCAAGGCAACAGCCGATGTCCTACTACAGAGTGAGCTCGGTTTGCGACCACGATACAGCAATGAGGAGTCTATGGAAAAGGTTCTTGACGTAGCGCTTCCACATCAAAGGTTTGCGCCACTGAAGGAAGTTTAGACAAGTCGTTACGCATTATATAGACATATGTAGCTATAAATTGAGCATATGCCTCTATATAAAAGATTAATTTATGAATACAATTGGATGCTAGTAAAAGTAGGGCGGTTCGGGTCTACTGTTCCATTACCAAGGAATAAATTAGTCTGTGCTAGGTCTATGCTGGCATATTGCGTAGGATGTGTGAGCTGAGCGAGGTGAGAATGTGAGAGTTTGTTCTGAATGTTTTGATTGGTTGATCGATTCTTCAACATGGAAGTGAGAGGCATGAGTATTTCTGAACCTGTATAGCAATGCAATCCATACTAGTTTTACAAGGCCAATTTTACATGCGATCAGCCTTGATCGTGTAGTCATGGCATTGATCGGTTTGAACTATGATACATCCCCATGGCCTGTGGCGCATGTCTCTTGATCTTATATTCAGGCTCCCAAGTAGCTTCCGTTGGGAGGGAATCTTACCCACTCAACTTATATAACGTCCTGAGCTTGTTGTTCACATACTCGACTGGGTGTTCAAGAACCTTGAAAACGTGATAACATTTTTTGAGACGTGTTGCGTGGTTGAAAAGTAGATTAGGCACGCAAGCTTGAAGTGTTTCCGAAGAGCCTTAATCGAAACAGTAGAGTCCTTTTCACTCACGGAATGATCCACGAAGCAATCAATCATGTCTTGGGATATTACGGAGCCCGAAACGACCGGTTCTCCTATAGTGCTAGGGTTTAATCCTGAACTCTCCATATCATCTGACAAATCCCCTGCGGCAGCATATTCGTCTGCATGAATGGCAGACAAAGCACTTGCAAGACCATTGTTCAGCTCCTCCAAGCTCACACACATAAGGCCTTCATCCCGGCAATAACCGCCTACTTTGGGGGTAGTTCGCAATGGTATTGAAAGACTCGACACAATTCTCTTACAGGAAGTAGTATTCGTCTTATCACAAATCTGCTTATAGCTGTGACAAATGAGGCAGCCGGTATTTAATTCGTTGGGAAATTGCCTCTTACGAATCCCAAGACTTTTTCGCCCGCGGTATGTTTTGCGGCGAGAAAACTCGAGGTTTCCATCGACAGTATCAGGCATAAACATGGTGCTGAGTGATTCGCACTGTTTGTATTGCCAGTGAGCGTGAGCTTTCTGCATCGGACACCGATGGTTTCGTTTAGCATGACTTCGCCTTTTCCAGATGAGTGTTAAAAACAACCAGACGTGCTTTTGCATTGACCACTAGCCGGGGGTACCTGGTAGGCATGGTCCCGCTAATGATCTCCACTATGAGTTCACGCGACGGGACCTATGCTACGACGCTAGCCGTGGCCGGATCGTCGTCCGGCAGATAGATGTGAAATGAAAAATTCGGGTCTAAACTGCGCTATGTGGATGCAGTGTGAAATTGATGACACAAGGCAACAATGCGGGTCGGAAAATACTACCCATTGGCTCGAGTCGGAGGGGGCTGCTAAGCAAGCTCTTGAGCCAACAGATACTTTTTCAAGGCATGATTCCGAAGACCCTCCATAATCCGGTGAGAAGCAGTTTTAACATGGAAAGGCGGCCGCCACGCAGGTGTGAATTGAGTACGTCTCACAAATATAACTCTACCTGAATTTAATGTCGCATTTACATAAAAGTGAGAAGCGTCCTCGGGTCTATCACAGTTGTATGACAGGAGGATTATATAATCGACCTACCTAGCTCGCACAACAATCCTATAATGAGACATATTTCGCAAGTAGAAATATTTACGAATGACTATGTTCACTTCCAACTGTTGACTCATAGGGAGCATTAATCTACCTATTTGTGTATAGCTTATGCAACTTCATATAACTTTCTTCTTGGTAGGAGTATTCGTGGGAACCAGGAGATATTTTGCCTTTTGCCCACCCACTTACTCTACCTACAACCGTCGCTGCTTCTGTCCTTGAAGCCCTAGTCGCCTCTCTCGCCTCTCTCGCCTCAATCGCCGCTCGCAATATTGTAGAGCTCTCTTGGCAGCTATCAATATTATTACTTTAATTGATCATCGTTATGTAAAAGTAAGGGATACGTACCCAAGTCTCGAGCCTTGGCTTTCGTCTCGGCATCAACCCAAGAGTAGCGGACAGCGCGCTCAGGGTACCGTTGGGCGATACCAAGGGGGCCTATACACTTTACCAGATAACCGCGGTCACAAATCTTCAGGTTGATATATCGTGGCTCGAGGTCGTCCTCGTTGTTGAAACATAGCCGGCCATCCGGATTGCACATAGGTATGCGCTGATTCATACGGTAGTACCAGGCCTGAAGACCTTGGACGGTACGTTCGGGAATGTTGCCAAAGAGTTTGGCAAATTCCTGCTTGATGAGGTGCCACTTCATCTTCTTGTCCTGCGAGGCGTAAATGATGTAGTCGCCCTCCTCTGTCGTGTACTTCTGGTTGACATGGTGCTTCTTACCATCCCGAGCGGGTCTCGGATAGCAAATCATGCTTGGCTGGTCTTGAAGGGATGGAGTGCTAGCATCGTTGCCGAGGTGCTTGTCTCGCTTACCATAGCTTATCTGCCATGAGTGAAGAGTGTAATTGAGAGAAAGACGGTCCTGACTGGGACTGGTGCCGGTTCCCCGCTGTGAGGTTGGGTGGCTGTTTGCTGGGCTTCCAACGGCACAGTGATCAAGTGGAGATACAGAAGCAGGAGTCTTCGGCGGCCTATTTTCTCGGATGAGGGCCTCTACCTCTTGGTCGAAGCTTTCCAAACTAGGAAGTCTTACGGATGCGCTCCTAGGAGGTGATACGAGATTGTACGGCCTTACAAGACTTGTAAACTCTTGGGCTGTTGTTAGTCTCTGAGTGCTGTGATGGAAGGCTAGAGGTCGTCCGACAAAGACAAAAGCTTACCCTCAGTCTTCTCTACGGGGCTTCCTGAGATTGAGTTCGGTGGGGTCGGGGGCTGAGTGGGAAACTGGTCAGTGTGAGTTAGGCTCGAGTGTTCGCTTGAAGGTCTTTCAGAACTCACTTTCATGTCGAGGAATGCATAAATGCTGATACTGTTGGCAGTTACATAACAAGTAAAACGGAGCGATGGAAAATGGTTCTGGCTCTTTGATGATACAGAGTTATTTGTTATGTTTCAGGGGGGGGGCAATAGTTTGCCACTTGTGAAATTATCAGCGATGCGGTACACAACAACTGATAGCTTTGGCGGCAAGCGGAAGAAAGAGCTGCGAATTAGGTGTACGGCTGGTAAGAAGGCTAATAAAGGCTGTGAAACTCAGCTCAGAAAGATATTATGTGTGGACAGAGAAAAGAAAATGAAGAGATAACTGGGGTCTGGCCAGTCTAATCAGGTCTAATTAGGTATGCCTCTCCACCCTCCCTTCCTCACGATCAACCCCCCTGCTGGGACTCTTACTGCCTCCTCATAAGAAATGGCCGATATGGACAGGGGTATGCCTTACACCAACCGAACCGGCTACAGCAAGCGTCACAACCTGTCTTCTATTCCGTCTTTGGTGGCTTTCTGGGCTTGTCTCTTCACTACACTACCTTTACTGAGGTGCGCGAGGCTTGCTTCCATCTCAGTTTGCCATCGTCCAAATCAGCATATCCGAGTTAGTAATATATAAGTACCTTTCGCCTCTCTTCCTTTAGAAATATCTCGAGGTCTCGGGTAAGCCAACTTATCTTAATCATTTATCTTATCTCAGCCAGTTCGTCAGTACGGAGCGCTTAGACTGGCCTAATCAGATTAGATCAATTAGCTCAAGTCAAACTTGATCACCTCAATTCAGCCATTCAAAATTCAATTCAACTCAGATCTCGCCCCTGAAATGCCAACTTGGCTCAAAGTTGTTGCGAGCGTTGATGGTAATGCGAATCTCTCCAAATTGCACGGAATGCCTTCGCCGGGCTTCATCGACCTATGTGGGGCTTGTTCCACAAATTGCACACAATCGTGTAACACTTAATTCTTACATGCTGGTTTATCTTCGTCGTAGTGAACTGACTTACTCGTGGGTTTGACTAAAAAGGAACCCCACTCATAGAGTGGGCGGCAAAATTCTGGGACAAGGGCAAAATTCTGGGACAGCTGATGGGTTAGAAATAGGTGGGGGAAATCAGGAAATCTCTGGCTTACACTTCTAATTTTATCGCAATCTATTCGAAATTTCTGCTGTGACTCAATTGAAAAGTATTGAAGCTGTCGCCAAAAGTATTTTATCATGCGAGGCATATTTGCGGTGGTGTTGCGGCCGAAATTGTGAACCTTGACTGCGGGCCAGTCCAGCCCCGTTTCCTCGCCCCACGATGCCTTCACCTCTGCCTCTGATCTGGCCGCCAACAGCACAAGGGATATCGATCTATTATTGTGTGTGCCTTTGGGGGTGTAATGTATTCATGATTCTGTGATAAGTGGAAGAAAAATTGGTCTCGAAGCTGGGTAAAGGAGCAGGAAGAGGCGGCAACTCGGGCTCCTCGATATCCTGTGACAGATCAACAAAATCAGGGCCTTCTTCATCGATTTCTGAGTCATCAGAATCCCCAAAAGTGAGGCTATCACGAACAGGATATCTCTGTGAGTCGCCGAGCATAATCTCAACACCATCGCTCGAAGGAAGGGCAGGCA